ATGATGATGATGATGATGGTGATGATGATGATGATGATGACGATGATGATGTTGATGATGTTGAACACGATGATGATGATCTTGATCATGATGATTACGGCAAAATGCTGATGATGATTGTAATGATGATGACCTCGGATATGAATGTAATAATTATCCATTTTTATCCTACACATGTAATGGAAGTACTGAAACATGCAGTCTAGTTTGCGGCGGAAAGAATTTAGCGTGCACAATGGGGATTTATAGAGGTGGTCTGAGGTTGTTCCGCACTGGTCACCCTCGCACAGACATATGATTGGCCCTGTTAGATCATCTCGGACACCGTGTTGCGGTGAATTGTTTGTGCTCCATCACATTAATCGAATTCGATTAACTTCCACACTACCTGCCTCTGCTCTAAAGTAAATTTCCGCATCTTCAAATGTATGGTTAATATGCGAAAATTTTGATGTGAATTGTGTTTCTCATTGAGTGCAAGGCTTTTCAGTTGGGAGGGATCCGTCCGTAGTGCTCATGATGTCCGGAAGTAATCTTGTGGATAATCTTTCCGGAGTACCAAGGTGACCGAAATATAAGTAATATCATTAGCAATATCATACTGCAACGAAAATCACGTGTTACAGCCGGTCGTCTATGGCTTGGAATGAATAAGACAGAGGTTGTCGAGTCTGAATTGATAACATGATCAATGAGTACGACCCCAAGTTTCCTATTTTGATTTTGCAGCAAATTAGTATTTAGAAGGGGAAAAACGACAGTAATGATTATTTTTGAATACAACGGTCCTCAATCGAATTGCATGCATGGTTTGATATTCACACTGAAAACCGGAATTCATAGTTAACTTGTTATTTGAAACAAGTAGTCACATGACAAGAGCGCCTCGTTGAACGACCGAAAGAAAAGTGGGCGTACCCAGTGGCCATGGTAACCAATGGGAAGGTTTATTCGAATAGCTAAAAATCGATACTTATGAATATGATATTATTTACGCCTTACGGAGATTAAAACACAGTGTTTTTCTTGAGACAATCTTATCCGCTGGAATATCTTTTGTATTAAACTGTTCATGTCTAGTTTCAAGGTGTTTCTCAATAATTCGACCATAAGAGAATCCCGGTAAATTCAACTGAGATGCTGTAATTTTCCGTGTTTGAATCCCCAGAAGGATTAAGTTTTGTACAATGCTGTAGCACTCCGAATAGACACGAATCTAGGGTCAAGGATCAATATTCAGGAACCCCAATCCCAATAGCGTCTCGCAGTGACACTAGCAGTTGTCTCCTGAAGTCTACCATCTACGAGACGTGGGAAGAAGTCCTCAGCTGTAGCGGTTCATTTGCTGAAGGAAACTAATGGAACTAAATAATATTTGAAAAGATATATCATTGGCTCAGCAGATGTCAACCAATA